CACTTCCTTTTATAATGCTGGGAAAACTCTTTAACAGAATTCACTCAAGCTTTTGATAAATTTGGTTAGCATGCATGGACTGTTTTATGGATCATTGTATCCACTACCTTTATTAAGAAAACAATACAGGTATTGCCTGGCAGATAGTATAGCTGAATTCAGAATATTAAATGCTGGCATGATTCAATTCCACTGTAGGTGTTTCTTCTTCATAAACATCATTTTAATAGACATGGAGTGATAATTATCATATATATATATATATATATATATATATATATATATACACACACACACACACATATACATACATACATACACATACACATGGAGCTCTGGTAGCACAGTGCCTAAGGCACCTGACAGCTAACCAGAAGGTTGGAGGTTCAAACTCACCAGCCACTCTGTGGAAGCGAGACTAGACTATCTACTTCTATAAAGATTCACTGCCTCGGAAACCCAATGGGGGTCCCTTTGAGCTGGAATCGACTAGATGGCAGTGGATTTGGTTTGATTTGGAGATACACACACACACACACACACATATAAAACACTGCCATTGAGTCATTTCTGACTCATAGTGACCCGATAGAACAAAGTAGAACTGCCCCCATAGGTTTTCCAAAACTGTACATCTTTACAGTAGCCCACAGAACAGCTGGTGGGTTAGAAGTGCCAACATTTTGGTTAGCAGCCCAATGCTTTAGCCACAGCACCACCAGAGCCCCTTAATTAGCATTTATAGGGAGCCTACTTAATAATATAATCTTCACATCAACACTATAGCATTAAGATGTCATTACTCCTGTTTTATACAATAAGGGTCTGAAATCAATCACACAACTATTGGGTGGTAGAGTGAGAATTTTAGGAGATTTTGAACCCTGCTCTCTGCTTCCAGGGGTGTTCTTTCCACTACAGCCAATACCTCATCATAAATAATCACACTCTGCTTAAAAAAGCTAGGTTGGGCTCTAACACTTCCAATACTTACCTCCTCCTCCTTTTTTTTTTTTTTTTTAATCTTTTTTGACTAATATCAATAATATTGGAAATCACATCTTGGTGTATAACATCTTACCTATTTCTATAATTATTTATCAAAATAGAGTATTCAAATTAGATTATTGCATTAAGGACATTAGTATTTTTACTATTTAAGGCTATTTGTATATATTGCTGATTGCTTTTGTCAATGGGGTAGTTTAAATTATAATTCGCTCAGTAGAGTTTGAGGCTTGCTGCTTTACTGCACCCTTTTTTAAAATCTTGGCTCATTTAGTAGTTGAAAAGTAACTCTTTGTTGCTAAGTTTCCTATATTTTGACTGCTTTAATTCACTGTGTTTTAATACACCAATTCTCCATCATATGGATTAGACCTTGCAGAGGTTGGTTAAGCCCTGGAACTAGAAATGGGAAGATGTGGAAGTGGTCATTAGACCTTGTTTTGGTCCTCTAATGCCACTCTAACCAACGTACCACAAATGGGATAGCTGTAACAAACAGGGATTTATTCTCTTAAAGTTTAGAAGGCTGGAAGTCTGAGTTCAAAGTGCCAGCTCTAGGGGTTGTGTGAAAGCCCCTCGACCTTGGGCTTCAGCTCTGCCTCCTGCTCCTGGCCCACTGAAGCTGGAGGCTTCTTTTAACTCAGACAGCTACTAGCTGCTGAGGCTGACAAACCCAAGGTCGACAAATAAAATGGCACAGTCCCAAAATAAACAACACAGCAGGCCACTGGTTCAAGTCTAGGAATGACCTAAAACTCAGCAGACAACATGGCAGGCCATTGAGATAAAGACTTGGCTACATGAAGGGTTAATGTAGTATGCCAAAAAGCTCCAGAGACCTTTCTTAAAGCTGCTTCTTACATACTGGAAGCAGACCACATTCCTAAGGCAGCTATTCAGCTGCTCCAGTAGATTCCACCATGGAGTTGATTACCAGTCTCATCATGGGGAATAATTACATCCAGGTGCACCAGCCACTCAAAACCGGGCCCAGCCAAGTTGACACACGACTTAACTACCACAGACCTTTTATTCCTACTATCTATCACTCAGCAGTCACGTAGCTCCCACTATAGACCAGGAATGGTACTAATGTTGAGTGATATATAGATGAAAACCCATTCTTGACCTCAGAGCTTGTGGACTAGCAAAAGAAGTGGACGCATAAACAGACAATTATGGTACAGCATGACCAGTACCATGACCAAAGTAAGCAAAGGATGCTTTGGGAAACACAGAGAAAGGCACCTAATTCAGGAAGTACTTTTGGAGATGGTGAGGCCTCAGTTACATCTTGAAGAGAAAGTGAAGTTAGCTTTTCCCTGACATCCCAGACCTCTGCCAAAATTAATTGTTCCCTTATCGTATTTCTTTATTAAAGGACTTATAAGAGTGTATTGTATTTATTTGTTTCCATGTCTCTCTTTCACTGTGGTGAACTTCTTGAGGGGAGGAATTAAGTTCCTAAATCTACTACAATGCCTAGTAGGAATGCAATAGTAGTAGGAATGCAATAAATATTTGTTGAATTAAAACGAAATTCTAGTCATGAAGTTACTTCCTCCCATGAAGTTACTACATTCTTCCTGACATGTTTGGTTTTCCTTTTGATGGTAAAACAACAGTAATAATGATAATAATAATACTGTTTGCCACACAAACAATAGAATAGGCAGAAGGAAAAGGATGGAAAATAAGTGTTGGTGAAGGATATGAGGCAATGGGAATTCGCTTTCATTAATGGAGGCAGTAGGCATTGGTACATTGGAAAACTGTTCGGCAGTAAAGTTTGGTCATACCCTGTGATGTGTGTTGTTGATGTTATGTGCCGTCGAGTCTCATAGCGACCCCTCCTTGGGTTTCCTAGGCAGTATCACTACGGAAGTAGATTGCCCCAACTTCCTTCCGAGGAGTGGCTGGTGGGTTAGAATTGCCAGGCTTCTGGTTAGCAGTCAAGTGCCTTAGGCACTACGCTACCAGAGCTCCCCCATACCCTATGAGTGGCCCAGTAATTCCACTCCTAGGTATATACTCAATACAATGAAAACATAACAGTCCCAAACCAGAAAACATATACAGATGCTCATCAACAGTAGAATGGATAAACATATCCTGGTATGGTCATACACCGCAAGGAGAATTAAACTTCACATACTCAACAATATGAATGAATTTTATAAAAATAATATTAAGGGCAAAAGAACTAAAATAAATAAAAACACCTAAAGTCCACTGCTTCCAGTTGATTCTGACTTATAGTGACTCCAAATAGTGCCTAAGGCATTTGACTGCTAACCAGAAGGCTGGCAGTTCAAACCCATCAGCCACTCCTCGGAAGTAAAGTTGGGCAATCTACTTCCGTGATACAACCTCGGAAACCGAGGAGTCGCTATGTGTCAGATCCAACTGGATGGCAGTGAGTTTGTTTTTTTTTTGAAAGGTCAGAGCAGAACTACCTCACAAGGTTTCCAAAGGTGTAATCTTCACGGAAACAGATTGCCACATTTTTCTCCCACAGAGCTGAGGGCTGTTCCGTTCTATCCACCCACCTGTCTGTCGGTTAACAGCTCGTGCTTTAACATTGTACCTCCAAAAACCAAAACCACTGCCACTCAGTTGGTTCTGACTCATAGCGACCCTAGAGGACGACTTACAACTGCCTCCTAAGATTTCCAAGGCTACCTCGTTCTACCGCTGAAAGGCTGGTGGATTCAAACTGCTAACCTTTTGGTTAGCACCCCAGTGCTTAGACTACTGCATTACCAGAGCTCCTTCACTGTGCCAACGGGGCTCCTATAATAATAATAATAATAATAAGTACTTACTGTATAATTTATTTTATATAAATTATGTTGTTGTTGTTATGTGCCGTCGAGTCGGCCCCGACTCATAGCGACCCCTCCTTGGGTTTCCGAGGCAGTATCACTACGGAAGTAGGATTGCCCAACCTTCCTTACAAGTAAACTATGCTATTGCAGATCAGGGAAGGGTAGTGAGTTGTGCAGGCTTATTGAGTGAAAGGGAGCAGTAAGGGGAACACGGGGGGTGCTATTTGTTCTGGGTACTGGATGGATACACATGTATATTGAGTTTGTGTCCTCTGTATGTGTATTATACATAAATTTAAAAATATTTTTTTAAAATTAATACATTTTATTTGAGTGGAAACTGGAAACTATAGAAATATTTAAAAGAAGAAAATTTAAATCACCTACAATCCCCCTATGCAGAGATAACTATTGTTAACATATTTTATTATTTCCTTCCAGTCTTTTTGAAGCCAGTGCTCTCTCCTTCCTTTCTCTGCCGCCCCCATTTACACACAAATTTGGCTAAATTAGGTTCATTCTTATTTCATTTTACTTCTGCTTTTTTCAAATGTCAATCTATATCATCAAGTGTTTTTTGCAAGCATGTTGTTTATAAGCTGCTGAGATTCATCGAATGTATGTTCTAATACATTAAATCATTTCCCCGTTGTATATTTTCATGATTTGTAATTTTTTATTAAACAAAGTATTTAAAAAACAAATCCATGCACATCATTATGTGTATTTATAAATACATATAAAATTCCTAGAAAAGGAGCTACTGGATCATTAACATTTTTTTAAGCTCTGCAACCGTTCTATATTTTCCTTAAGAAAAGTTGCACCGATCTACAGACTCTGGCAAGGTGAGAGGAATCCTTGCAACACAATTGAACTCCAGGTCATTTTGTTGTTGTTGTTTTAAGATGGTGGAGCTTAAAATTGACTAAAGAATCCGCCGTTTGGCACTCAAAGGAAGCGTTCGGCTCCTGGGGCATGGAACCGGCTCACCTCACGAGCCTCTTTCCAGGCACGCGGGTTTCATCCGCAGACTCTGCCCTGCCACTCGGCCACTGCAGTGCGGCCCCTGGCGCGCGCGCGCCCGCCGCCTGGTTGTCATGGGAACCGCGGGGCGCGCAGCTGCGCCCTCAGACTACCGTTTGTGAGGGGCGAGGCCCAGGCATGGAGCTGCCGGATCCTGTCCGCCAGCGATTGGGAAACTTCAGCCGGACTGTATTCAGCGACTCCAACCGGACCGGGCCGGAGTACAACGAGGGTCCGGGTGAGTGGCCGAGACCCAGGAAAAGGGGTGTGGACCGCCGAAGGCCTGGCGAGGGTTTTGGAACGTCCAGATTATGCCCGCACCTAAAATGGCGATTTTGCCTTCAGCTGGGTCTCGGTGGTGCGTGGAGCATCTTGGAGGAAAAGGCCAGGCCTGGACTCCGATTCAATTCTGTTCTGGTCCTGCTGTGGTCTGGAAGTAGCATTGCAAGCGCCGCAGCTGATTTGGCGCCAGCCTTTGCACAGTATAATGCTGAGCGCTGCTTGCGAGGAAAATTGAAAAAAAAAAAAATTTAAAAAGCTGTCTTCCCGGTGCTGGATTCCGCGCCTTTGCAAAGGCAGACATTGATTTTCCCCTACGTCTGCCCTGGCTTTTCCGCCCAGGATCGGGGAAAACGATCCAAGTAGCATTACCATCACCACCACCGCTACCTCTCCCCCTCCTCCGCCCTCCTGTGAAATATCTTTGCTTTTCTCTCTTCCTAGCAGAACAAGCACTTTCCTCCACAAATCTATTTCTCAGCAGAAGAGAAGAAAAAAAAAAAAATTATTTAATGAGTCATTTTAAACCGCTGTCCACTCCAGAGTGGCAGCTTCCACAGCAGCACTAAACTCATTCCCTTCCCTGCCTTCTCCTCCACTATATACCAAACCAAACCAAATTCACTGTCCTCCAGTGTGGGACCCGATTCATAGCGGCCCCTCCTTGGGTTTCCGAGGCGGTATCACGACGGAAGTAGATTGCCCCACCTTCCTTCCCAGGAGTGGCTGGTGGGTTTGAACCGCCAGCCTTAGGTTAGCAGTCAAATGCCTTAGGCACTATGCTACCAGGGCTCCTCCACTATATCCGGTATAGCGTATAGCTCTTTTCCTAAATCTCATAACAAATACCAGGATGCCACTTTCAATAGGATGACAAGTGATAACGCGGTTTCCTCCAAAACCATTTCCTCTTTAATCTTGATGATTGATAGCCTACTCTACGACCAAACCCTTGCAGCTTACATCGCTGAACTGTGCTTGTAAAAAAAAAAAAAAAATCTTTTCCTCTGATTGGTTTTAGAGATGGGGGGGGAGGGGCAGAAAAAAGCAGTTTCCATAGTTACACTTTGTCGCCTTGATCACTTGCTTGCCCTCCAGATTGTAGGCCTCTCTATGATTTAGGAGATACAGAGAAAAATGTGAAAAATTAGATTTTTGCATTTCTGATTCTAAAGCTGAAGCTTAAGGGATGCTAGAATCTGATGATGCAAATTAGTGATTTAAATCAGGGGTCAGCCAAGGACAGGTAGTAAATATTTTAGGCTTTATAGGCCAAAGTTTCTGTGGCAGCAATAGACAATAAGTGAATGGGCATAAGTAAAACTTTATTTGTAGACACTGAAATTTGAATTTCATATGGTTATCATGAGTCACAAAACATTATTCTTCAATTTTTTTGTTTTATATATTTTATGACAATAAAGATTTTATTAAAAGTAGATCATAATCATCAGACATAATTTTGAAGCTAAAAGAACCCTTGCTCTCAGAGACTGATTATTTCTAATATTTTTAAATTATTAAATGACAGATAAAAAACGGTCAGTTGTAAAGAAAAAAAATAATCTTTTTAAAGAAATTATTTTAGAGCCTTTTTAAGTTTCTACATTTGGAGCAATTGATTTCAAGATATGTATCTGCTCTTAAATTTTTAGAATTTAGTCAATTTTAGGATGCATTTTATAGGGTTCAACTTTCAAAATCAAATTCTTACTTTATGTAATCAGGCTTAGATAAATGGAACTCATTTATCATGAATGGCTACACTGGTAATGTCCATTAATTAGTTGTTTGGGCTTCAGTGTACTTGGTATTTACTGTTGTAAAGCAAGATGCTAGGTTCTGTGAGGGTCTCAATTTGCGGTAGGATATGGTTTGTGCTCACGATGAGACTATGTGTAAATAGAAGAGAAGAAGGACAAGGTACTACTATTTATTGAGTGCTCACTAAGCAAAGGACTAGGGTGAAATAACTTTTATCTCTAATCCTCATAAGCAGCCTGTAAAGTCCTTTAACGGTAACCTTTTTACAGATGAAGAAATTGAGGCACAAGGAGGTTAAATAAGTTATCTTGGGACTGGTATCTGGAGTCAGGGAGTGGGGGTCCAACCTTGGACTCTAACACCCATGTTTTCTTCAGTGCACCAGGCTGTATGTGGAACTGGGAGAGAGTGGGTCTTTGCTAGCGCTTCTCATACAGAGGTTAGAGTGCTAAATACCCAGAGGAGAAAGAGATTTCTGCTGGGGTAGGGGTGGGGGGACCCAATCTAGGAGAATTTATGGAAAAAGTGGCATTGAGTTGGCCATGAAAAAACGGGTGGGATTAGGGTATGATGAAAAGAGAAATGTGTCTAATTATAATTTGGGGAGATTAGTTTTTTATGAGGTTAGTTTCTATGTGAGAGATTAGTTTCTATGTATTTTATGTGTTCATTTTATAGGCTGTTTACATAGAACTCTGCAAAGGAGGTAAAGGCAAGTATTGCTATCTCTTAAAGAAGATTCGTATTGATATTCCACATTTAAGCTATACCAGCAGTATGCAGGAGAGCCAGAAGACTGTCATGGCAAAATGATAAAATAATTGAGAAATGTGAAATATGCCCCCCAGCAGGCAATATCTGAACACCAGCTAAATGGTATTTTGATGAATATTCCTTTCACTGTCGAGGATTTATAAATAGGCTTAAAATTTGGAGTTTTGTTGAGCCAGCACTACAGTTGTTAATTGTAGGGAATGAAAAGATTTGTGAAACATAGATCAGCATTTGGAGTTTGTTCCCCTTCTCTCTGTTTTTTCCGTAGATGATGAAATGGTCTCCAGTTTGGCACTGCAGGTGTCACTTTATTTTAACACTTACTTTTTCCCTCTTTGGTGGGTGAGCAGCATTACAATGCTTTACACAAAGGTGAGTATCTGCTTTAATACCAATACTGAGGTCTCTTCCCATCCCCAGCATTGTTACATTGTCGGTAAAATTAAAGTTCTAATTATTTGATTCTACCCAGGTTGGTTTTACTATATGTGACATTTTACAAACATGTTTATTTTTATTTTTTAGTATTCAATCTTGCCTGATTACTACAAATTTATTGTGGTCACTATTATCATCCTAGTAACCTTAATTGAAGCCATCCGGTTGTATCTGGGCTACATGGGTAACCTACAGGAAAAGGTAGGCTCTTCTTTCCTTTCTATCAGTGCTGCACATAAATGCAGCAGGGTTTTCATAGCAAGAAAAGGCAATGAAAAGTGGTACGAGGAGCATAGGCCTGAATTTAAGGGCTGGCTCCAACGTTTTTGACCTTTGTCATTGTGATCAGTATTCTTAATCCTTCTAGCCATGGTTTCCTCATATATAAAATGGGAAAAATAATATTTACCTCACAAGTGTGTTGGGATTAAAGAAAATGACTTATATAAAGTACCTGAATTTACTAAGCACTTAAGAACTGATAGTATTTCCTCTGTTCCTTCTCATCATTCTTGAAAATACTTGGTCAATTAAATATGTCTATTTGTTTCCCGAATAAGGAAATTATAAACTAATCTTCTCTGCCAGGCACAAAGATTGTTTTCAGTGTCATCTTACTGCCCATGCATTTGTTGTTATCAGAGCTTAGGGATAATGTCTAATGATTTCTGTGGTTTTTCTAGGCCCTTCATAATTAGGCCCCGCCCAGCCTGGTCTTGCTGTATTTCCTGCTGTTTCCTAATCCACTCATCCATTTCAGGCTGGTGTGTTGATTCCCTCTCATGCTCGTTCCACATCTTTGCTTGCTTACCTTCTTGCCTCTTCTTCCTTTTACCCAACTTTACAGGCCTATACCTTTGACATCTCTCTTTCAACTACCTTAATTCTCTTGTCTTCTTTTGTGTAGCATTTAGTCTATTCCTCTAAATGTTGCATTTGGTTATTCACAGAAGTTTAGTATCTAGGATTGTTTCATATAAGTTAGTGTTGTCTTCCCAGCTAGACTGTAATTGCCACAAATCCTGACTCAGTGTGCGCTTATAGTAGTGCTAAATTCTTGCTTATCTGTATGAACGAAAGAGTGTACTTTATTAATTTCATTACTCTTAATGTGTGTCATTGCAGGTTCCTGAGTTGGCTGGCTTTTGGCTTTTGAGCCTTTTGTTACAGTTGCCTTTAATTCTTTTCTTGCTCTTTAATGAAGGTTTAAAGAGTTTGCCAATGGAAAAAGCAATACATATCATCTTCACTCTCTTCCTTACTTTCCAAGTTGTTGCAGCATTTCTTGCCTTGAAGAGAATGGTAAATCAGTTGGCAACCCGTTTCCACCTCCAAGACTTTGACCGGCTTTCTGCAAATAGAGGGGACACGAGAAGGATGAGGTCATGTATAGAAGAGATTTGACCCAGTGCTGTTGAGTGAAAAATCTGAAAGATTCTTCCAGAAGACTGAGAGCGTTAGAAAACATCAGAGATCTAGTGTGAGAAAAAGGACAAAGCAAGTGTTGGGAATTCTATACTCTTTAGGTATGAAATTCCCAGGTTGAGGGTATGGTAAGGGTTTGTTTGCACAATACATGAAAAGTCTAAAACCTAGATGTTGTCCACTTGATGCCAAATATCTTAATTTTGTTGTTGTTTTTTACTTTTCCAGGTGTGTAGAAATCTGTCACTTGGTGGTCACAGTTTACCAGTTTTATTATAATACCTCTAGTTAGCATCTATAAATAGAAATGTGTACATTTCTTTTAAATGTGTCTGTTATCCACATCTTGGAGTCCCTGGATGGTGCAAATGGTTAGCACCTGAGCTAACCAAAAGATTGGTGGCTACTTTTGAAAAATAAGCCATTGAAAACCCTATGGAGCACAGTTCTACTGTGACACACATGGGTCACTATGAGTCAGAATTGACAAGATAGCAACTGGTTCTTTATCCACATCTTGGCTGTATATCTGACTATATCTTGTAGCACATGCAAGTAGTTATCAATATTCTTGTGTATTAAACTATATTTAAAAACCAGCAGATCAAACTTTCATGACTGCTAGGGTTAGATTCTGACCCCAATCTTGGCTATTTTACTGAGTTTAAGAAGAAAACAGATGGATTATTATGTTGTTGTTATGTGTTATGGAATTGGACCTGACTCATAGCGACCCCTCCTTGGATTTCTGAGGTGGTATCAATACAGAAGTAGATTTTCCAACCTTCCTTCTGAGGAGTGGCTGGTGGATTTGAACTGCTTGCCTTCTGGTTAACAATCAAGTGCTTTAGGCACTACGCTACCAGAGCTCCCGTGGATTATCACAGTACTTAGAATTATTTTTGTCATAAAATTGTCACTTTCATAAAACCATGTTCAGTATTTATGGTGGTGGTATGCAAATAATTTTTTACAATAAATTATAAAATATTTATGTATAACTATAATATATATGTTTAACTATAAATCATTTGTCTTGTACAGTTTTTTGGGGCTATGGGTTTATTATTTTTATCAAAAAGTTCATTCTTTCTTGCAAGAGAAGGAAAAAGGAAAAAACTAACAGTAGCAAGCCTTCTGCACTATAGGCACTACAGGAGGAATATTAACCTTTGAGATCTCATCTACTAGATCATAATTCACTGCTTCATAACAAACAATGTGGGGCTTGATTTGAAAAACAGGTGCCTATTCGTTACATGGTGACAGCTAAAACCACCAAAGGGACTATCCTCATGATCCTAAATTAGCATGTTCCCTTGCTAATATGGGGAAACTTATTTAAGGAAATTCAGTTAAGAATAAGTTTGCTTTGGTGTAAATGATCGTTGAATTGTCATAAGAGGCATAGTATTTTCATCACTTCTTCCTATAGGGAGCTGGACTTTCATAAGTTACTTGTTTCACTGAAGGACAATTGTAGCTACATCAAAAAGTGTTCTCTCCAGTTTTCCTTTTCATGCTCATCTTAGGATTTCTGCATTTTGCCTTATTCATCCTTGCATTGTGTCTTAGTCACCTGGCATTGTTGTAACAGAAATACCCCCAAGTGGGTAGCTTTAAAGAATAGAAACTTATTTTCTCACAATTCAGGAGGCTAGAAGTCAAAATTCAGTGCATGGTTCAAGGGGGAGATACTTGTCCATATTGCCAACAATCCTTATAGATGTATCTGTCTTGGTTATCTGTCTCTTCTCTGTGCGTGTGTCTAACCCACTCTGTAACTCATAAGTGATTAGATTTAGAAGCCACCTTACTTGCATGTGGTCTAATTAACATAACAAAGAAAACCCTATGTCCAAACTGGATTATATGCACAGGTGTAGGAGTTTAGAATTCTAATACATTTGGGGTGGGGTGGGGCACAATTTAACCCATAACACATTGCTTAATTTTTTAGAATGTCTTTACTTCCCACTCATTCTTGAGTATTCATGATCAAGCTATTTATGCTAATTTTATCATTTCTGCTCTTAAAAAAGTATATATATTTAGTTCAATGAGATTTCTCCCTAATACACTAACTGATTAATCTTTTCCCTGTTGTAGGGGATTTTTTTTTTTTAACCAAAATGGTTACTAGGTGTACTCCAATAATTTGAAATTCAAAATAGAATTCTTCTTGGACAGTTTACTAAAACATATTTGTTTGCATTTGTTTCCCAGATAACTGTAGATACATGATTCTAT